TTTCTACCTTCTCCTCTCTGTCAACGCTCTCTGGTTTCATTTAAAAGAGTCGATCATCAGATATTGTCCAAGATTAACTTTCAGGGTGGATATAGCTCACAAGCAACCTTGCACCAAGGACCTATCCATGCCATAATTTACCCAGAATGCTTTGCGTGTAAATAAAATGGCCCCATCCTTGTAACATATTTTAAACTTTTAGTTTAAAAATGATAAAAACTAAACAGCTTACAGTACTTTTACAGTCTTTATTTTACAGTTAAAATATGTTTATTAAATAGTCTAATGTTACAACTAATCATGGATCCCTTTAACTTTTTTGTTGTTTTTTTCCACCCGACCTCACCTCCGCGTTCTTCTCGCAGGTTCTACAAAGGCACGGTTCCCAGGCTCGGCCGAGTGTGTTTGGACGTGGCCATAGTCTTCGTCATTTACGAGGAGGTGGTCAAAATGCTCAACGACGTGTGGAAGACGCAGTAGAGCGGCGCGAATGTGACACGGGAAGCACAAGATCAGTGCCTCATATTACGCACAACCTAACACCTCTAATCTAGTTTGTACTAGCCGCCTACATCGGCCTGAGAAAGTGACGCACGACCATTTTCCTGCTAAGATAGCATTCATGCGTTTTACCAGACTCGCACTAAGAAGACAGCGGGGGTCAGTCAGCATTTGATTGATTTATTTATTTTTCTAGTGAATGAGTCAGACAAAAAGGAAATATTTTATTTTGAAAGGCAGTGAAAGGCGCAGTTATAAAGAGGATCGGATTAGATTCAAACATCCCTTTACTTAATCTCTATACTGCAACACATCTGTGTTATCATGCTTTGGTTGTGCTTTCGGCATCAACACTCCACTTTTCATCCCGTCTTGGTAATTTAGTGGTTTGCAAAAGTATTCACTCATCTCGTCATTCTCCTCACAACATAACCAAATCGTTATATTTTTAACRCAACCCTCAGTTTTGTATTGTTTTTTCTTCTATTTAACTTAATCAATCTGGAGAATTAAAAAAATACATGAATTTTTCATTTTTTAAGGTGGCAAAGTAATAATAAACTGAATATTTTTGCAAATTACTCCAAAGTCCCCAATGCTCATTGCAGACATGGTCTCAGTTGCACAAGTGATGAGGTGGCACCTTTAATCCTGTTAATTATATCTTGTAGTAGGAAGCAGCAGAACTAGGAGTGAGTGTATGTTTGATACTCTAAAAATGACATTTTTTAATTTTTTTTAGAGTAGACAGCCGAAATATTAGCCATAGATTTCCCAGAGTGGTTTTTTGCTGATTTAGATTTCAGTCTTATCTTTCAATCAGATTCTGCCACGTTGTTTACATCAATCTAACCTGCAACATAAGCTTTATGTATGCAAACTGAAAAATGGTATTTAGCCATTTCAGTCTGTGCATAGTACCCTAATTTTACGCACAATGTTTTTCTAAATGCTATTTTCTTTTCTAGCAGCCTTCAGCATATCCAAGGTTTAACTTGCGTGAGAAGTCTCGAAGCAAAAGACCAGTTTTGATTGACCCAGCAGCACCACACAGCCTTGAACTTTTAAGTCCTTTTTGTGCTAAAACAGCTTCACTATCTTCACCAGTTAAACTAGTCCTGATAGGAGAAAGTGTTTTACTTCATACAGGAGCAAAAAGGGGGTTTCTGTTTGTAGCATCTTGTTTCTCAGTCATTTCAGATTCTTCCAGCACGATTGTGTTGAATCTTTTGCAGCTTTTCAGACAACTTAAGTGCACATCTTGGATGTGGTGTATGAGATCCTGTTGGGTAGGTTGGTTTTATTGTGTGGAAGATATACTAAAATAACATGACTGTAATGATCCAAGTTAATTGTACATGATAATAAATTTCAGATTAAAAAAAATCCGAACAGACATGTCAATCCTGTGTTTGAATCTCATTTCACTGGGAAGCAATTTTTTTTTACCCATTTCCATTCATAAAAATAAGTTATTTATTCAGACTCAAGCATATTTAGCATCAATGATTATTTCTATTAATTGAACTGGTTGTAAACACCTGTGACAGATACAAAAACATAGTAATGTGCTTTAAGATGCGAATGCAAATTACTGGAAATCTACAGTATTTTATTACAAATAGACTAGTAGGTAATCATGTTGAGGAACATGCTACATATTTGAGATACAAGCCTAAATAATGATATAACATGTTTGAAATGTACTGAATAAACACAAATGTGAACAATGTATTACAGAATTTTAGAGGATACGATGCACAAACCCTAAAAAAAGCTACTGTAAAAATAAGACAGTTTGGGGTGTTTACAGGACTGCAAAGCTAAACATTTGTAAAAAATAAATGTTGCTCAGTAGAAATTCTTTATGAGATGGAAACCTTTATTTGAATAGCTTAACTGAACAGATTTGCAAGTTTTCATCTGATATCCCACTCCTGTAGCTTGTGAGAAGATGCAACCAAAACGAAAAGTTTTTATCAGTATAAAAATGAGTTAAGATCTCACGAGGTAAAGATCAAACTTTGGTTACTTCAGCATTATTAATTTAAATTACATGGCATCAAGTATGGGACAAACCGCTCTTTCCTCACCCTATATAGGTCCTGGGCTTAGATTTTTCTCCATTAATTCGTTACTTCATTAAACATTAATTGGATAAAATATATTTAAACTGTAATCCCATTGAAGTTCACACAACTGGGACAGTAACAGTTTTTCCTCACTGTGGAATATGACAACAGCACAAGCGTTTCACCACACAGGTAGTAAAATGAAGAAGGTTACAGCATTGCTGAGCACAGAACAAGAGATTAAAGGCTGAAGGAGCAGGAGAAGCATTGCTGGAATTAAAACCACAGAAGGTAATACCACTCCCACCTGTTCCTTTAACCAGCTCACAGGATCCCTCCTGTACACATCTGATGAGGTTTGATCAGAAGAAAGGCTTTAAATGTACAGCTGATTAATAAATCCCCTTATATTCTATTGAACTAGTTCAAAAAAATTAGCCTGGCAACACTGTTTAAAAAAGTTTTGCAAGACAGTTCCAAATGATCAGTTTTTTTGTCAGATCGTGCTGTAATCTGACTGGATGTATTTAGCTTCCTCTCAGTCTTACACTGTAAAACCAATCCAAACCTCCACATTTGCCTTGTGACCAGACTCGAGTTCCTCAACAGACAAATGGAGGATTAGATACAGTCTGGAGACACCCTTTATCCCAGCTGTCAGGTGCACTGAAACCACAAGACGGATAATCTTCTGCAAAAGTTGCAAAAAAGTGACAGGACTATCTTCTCCATCTAAAAACATAAAAAACAAGTGAAAACATTAGGCTTGATTGATTGACAACTTTCTGAAAGCTTCACGGTGTCACGCTCACATTCTGAGACATTTATCTTTCCCACCACTGGCCACTCTCTGTCCATCAGGACTCCAGTCCACAGCAAAAACCTGCGCACATGAATAAAACATAACCAACACAAGCCAATAAGGAAGAAACCGTCATGAATCTTTTCATACAGCTCCTCTGCTTGCCTCATCAGCGTGACCTGGAAGATCCATGTTGAGCTTCCCCGTTTTAACGTCCCACACCTTGAGTGTGCTGTCGCTGCTGCCGCTGACCAGCAGCCTGCTGTCTGCGGACCACGCTACCTGATACACAGATCCCACGTGGCCACGCAGCGACATCAAGTACCTGTGGGCAGGCAGAAGACTCAGTTTAGCTCCACGCCACCACCTAATGGACAAATGTGTTACTTAGTGCTGGGCGGTATACCGGTTCGTACCGAATACCTTTTTATATTTTTGTTTTATGAATTCTCTGAATACCGACATACTGGTTAAAATAGTCTGAACACGTGCAGAACTTTTCGTCGCAGTCACCAGTGAACTGTTGTTTCCCGGGGGACACTTTTCCTCACAGCACCGCTATGTGCGTTAGCATGCTAATGTTATTGTTGAGCAGTTTGTTGCAGRGGCGGATGGCGATTCCGCTGCTTATATTTACTGACGTTAAAAAAACATCCCATTTTTGCCATCGCTTAATGTAGTAAACACCTCTTCAGTGACGTGCACAGTTAGATTAAACACGCAACGTTAATATGGAGACATGGAGACGCATGGAGACTTTAGCGTGGTTCTATTGTGAAAAGCCCGGGAAAAGAAGTTTGTAATGGAGTTGAGTTGACTGGTGTGCAAGGTGAGTCGTACTGTTAATCTTTATTAAATAACATAAAACAATAGAACCGATAATATTTTCTTAACCCTCCTCCTTCATGACCGGACCAAAATGCATGATTACTGTCTCCAACCACCAGTCAGAGAAAAAACACTTAGAGGTGGGAAACAGCGACACAGACAGAGGTACAGAAAAAGAGAAAAGTTAATAAGCAGGGTTTGTACATTTTATTATCAGKTGACCTGTGATGAAGAGAAAAACACCGTGATATACCGTGAAACCAGTGTAAATGTTGAAAATACCGTGATATAAAATTTGGGTCATACCGCCCAGCACTAGTGTTACTATATCCAGATTCATTTGTTATCTCATCAGTGAGTGCTGATTCTTACTTCCCGGTGCGTCCATCCCAGATTTTGATGGATTTATCAAAAGAGGCGGAGGCGAGCAGTCTGGTGTCAGGGGAGAAGAGCACTTCATTGACCAGAGCGCTGTGGCCCGTCATCCGGGCCACGGGTTTCTTTTCCTCTGCAGGATTCCACATGAATAACGTGAAATCATCGGAGCCGGAAACCAAGCGCTCTGGAGCTGAGCCCTGTAGCATTAAAAATAAATAAAAATAAATAGATTAAAAAGCACCGATACAGGGATGATTACACATGAATACGACTGTTACCCACTCTAACTTTCTTGTATCTTTCCAACGCTCTGTCCTTCAACTCGTCCACTGAGAAGAAAACAAACACTTATTAGGTAAGAATATTAATTTTAGAGATCCAAATCAATATTTCTAAAATAAAACCTGCTCTTACAAGATCCGGTGAGATCCTGTGGGTTTATTGTTGCATGTGCAGGCTCAAAAGCTCCAGTTCGCAGGACGTAGTCCGTGCTGAGAGCGAGGGTGTTCACCCAGTGGGCGTGACCCTGCAGAGTCCTGCACTGGATGCCCTAAAACCAAAAAAAAGGCAGACTTTAACACGTTTGATCGTTCGCTGCTGTTTTCATTCAGCTCAAAACACAAGCACACCCTTACGTCTTTCGCTCTCCACACTTTGATTGTCCGGTCCTGGGAGGAGGTGTAGAGGAGTCCGTCTCCTCCCCACTTCACACAGGTGACCGACTGAGTGTGTCCGGTCAAAATCTTCTCACAGCGTCCCAGCACTGTGTCCCAAATGCGCAGAGAGCAGTCCTTAGAGCTGCTAGCTAAGTAGCGACACTCTGGGTTACTAAAAAAAATAGGGGAGGAGCAGAAATAAGAGCTTAACCCAACAATGTATTTACATTACAAAGAACGTTAACATCAAAGCTGCTTCTTAGTAGTTTAAAATAAACAAACACTCACAGATGAAGAGGTTCCCAGCAGAGCCAAGTGATCCACTTGGTGTGTCCTGTTAAGGTCTTCCCAATCTGTTTGCCCGTGGCTGGATCCCACAGAAAGATCTAAACACAAAAACAAAAAATAACAAATGAGAAATTCACCTTTAAGATGTACACAAATTAAACACATGAGAACTGTGTTTAAAACACACCTGACTGTTTTTGCACCCAGAGGCCAGTTTCTTTCCATCAGGTGACCAGGCGATGCTCAGGACCCAGTGTGTGTGTCCTTTAAAAGAGGAGAGTCCAGCACAATGGTGGCTTAAATCATCAGTCAAGTGGATCTTATTAAATTGGCAGCAGAGCTCATTTCCTTATAGAAGTGACTTTATACCTTTGGCGGTGTAGAGGGGAGTCTCGGTTGTCAAGTCCCAAAATCGCACTGTGGTGTCACCTGAACCGCTGGCCAGATATCTAAAAAAAAAAGCATGTACTTGTGTTCATTTTCTCAAAAGTTTCACTAAAGAGTCTCACTGGGTGTTTTTACATCATATGGATTGTTAGAGAGAGAGAGAGAGAGAGAGAGAGAGAGAGAAAAAAAACGCAGAATAAATGCTGGCAGCTGTTCAGTGTTTGAGTTACTCACTTGCCAGTGGGGCTGAAAGCGGTGGAAATGACAGCCTCGGTGTGTCCCTGTAAGGTGCTGGTACAACGGGTCACAGCCCTAACCTTGAACACGGCCTCAGGTTGGTACACCACCGGCAGAACTTGTTCCGTCTCGACTCCAAGAGCCTTAACACAAGATCGAAGCGTGGACACCACTTCTGCTTCTCCACGCACAAAAAACGCCAGAGGTACTGGCTCTTCCTGCAGGGGATAACAGTAAAATATGTAATTAACTGGGATGTAACCTGAATAACTGAATCTCCAAATGGATGCAATCCTTGGTCTCAACTTTTTTTAATATCGAAAAAAATAATAGCTCTGACATTTGGTTACAAGACTGATTTCTTCTGCCATTCGATATGCATCTAAATGAAAACAATGCTGTTTCAGATGTACTTCCAACTCATAAAATTGTATTTTTTGTTGTCTCTGACACTGATGCAGCCTCAGCTGAGACATGCATGTCATTGAAGCTTTTTTCCTAAAATAAAAATCATTTTCTGCCCAAACACAATGGGTAATGCAGCCAGTGTGAGCTTGCATCATATAATAAACTATCATGTACACAAAGCTGGATTTACTTTTTGAAAAATTGTGTATAGAGCATTGTTATTACTACTTAATATAGCACAGTATGGTTATACTGTGACACGTTACCTTCTGAAGCAAAGCATTGCAGACAAGTTGTAGTTTGTCTGGAGTAATGTCTAAAGGCACATCAAAAGGTGAACCCAGAACCTCCCCATTCTCATCCTGAAACTGGATCAACAGCCGCTCCACGTCCTCACTCTCCATCCTGATGTTTTGTTCAGACAAAACAAAATGTACTTATTAAATGACACAATGTAAGGAATAATGTAAAAACAGAATCATGAGAACAGCAGGAGAGACAACACAAATGTTGATGTAAAACCTTCTATTTTGTTTCTTCTGTCTTATTTAAAGCCAAATCCATACAGCTGTCATTTTAAAAATGTTGATCCAATAAAACTGATTTACACTATTTGCACAAAAATAGTTCATCACATGGAGTTAGCTTATCTAATAGGTAAATCATGCAATGAGAGAAGTAATGCAGAAATTGTGATGTTGTGCAAACGAGTAGCTTTAATTTTCCATTAAAACACATCTGTTATTATGGGAAAAACATGCTCCTGTTTCAAAAGGGTCAACATGTTTTACTATTTGAATATCATGACACTGCAAAATGTTGTCATTCTTTATCGTAATAAAAAAGCTGGTCAAACAAAACACTACAACTTATGCTGTTTTAACACAAACTCTTCTAGCTAGCTAACTAGTACAAGCACCAAACTTCAATTCACCGTTTTTATTTATTAAATAGAAAAGCAGGTAACCAGAGCACACACGGTAACGAAATCATTCTATCAAAAAGAAATGTACCAAAATAATGAAAAAAACTCAACTATATAGCAGTTTTAAGGCAGCCAGTGAGCCAGCTAAGCTAACTCAACTAGCGTGCATTTAGCTAGCATTTTAAGCACCTTCAAATCATTTTAGCATAGACCGCTGGACAGGAGTATAATGCTCACTTGTTTACACACTCTCTTTGGATTTACACACCAGCTGACCGTCAAATAAACACATTTAACAATTACCTTCAGATTAGCAGAGGAAATAAGCACTCCACGTGTGAACAACCAAAGAGCCTTTAAATGAAAAGACTGTGCGATGTCAAGTGACAAGCCGCCGAACGCGCACTGAATTGTGGGAAAGATTCAGACCCCGACATGAACTTTTATTAGAGACATATCTTTACCACAGTAGTGTTTCCATAGCCTAAATGACAGCCAAGGATTGTAAAACACATTTCCCCACCTGAACTTTGCAAAGGAAAGACAAAATACAACCAAAATACACATCAAGATAGATCAAAAATCTTTTAATTCGGATTGAATTAAAAACATAATTTATTATTGATTCTGTTGACTGTCACAGATTGGTATGCTGTTACATTTCTTTTTTTCATATTCTTGCTTCACTTCTCTGTCTTTATGAAGAACATGGTAAAAGTAAATCAACATAAATCATCATTATTATTTTGTATATTTATATCCAATGACTGGCAGATCATTTCCACATTTATTTCATAATTATTTTCTGGCACAATCAACTCAACAGCATGAAATTGCTTTATTGAATACTGTATAACAATACTGACTGAATACATATCCAGTAGCTAAAAACAGTATTTTTTCTTTCTGCACCTTTCCTATATTAATTTAGTAATTGCTTTAACAGGATAAAATATTGTTGTTGTTTTGTTTACTACAGATCTAGTCTCTAAATGAGTAAATTTGAAAGGGAAAGTTGTAAACGGCATCATTTTCAGGAGCTTCACATCTGAATGAAGTCGGAATAAATTTTTATCTGTTGATTCCATTGATGTCCTCAGGATCAAGACCTTCTGTGACAGCCCGCTTTGACTCCAGGATCTGTAAAAATAAAAACACATGAACACAAACAACAGGTGATAAGAAGCTGCACACAAAGTCAGGTGGTACACTCACCTGAAAGCACTCACTGAGTCCAACGATTCTGTTCATGTTCGTACTGTAGTAACCCAAAACATATTCTCCACCCAGCAGAGGGATCTTGTCTTTATCCACAGTTATCTGCAGCCAAAAATATATCCATTTATAATAATAAATAAAGTATGAATTAAAACTCTGCTCCTTTTTATTTTTTTACCTCTATGACTTCATTGACCTCTGGCAGCTCGTCCTCTCTGACCCAAACAAAGGTTTCAAAGTCAGATGAACTTTTAAATCCAACCTGCAGGGGAGAAAACACATCAGTTCAYATCTTTCCAGTTCAGAAATGTTAAAGCATCTTTACATTGTTTTAATTCGTCATAGCACCTTATACAGGCCAATCCAGTCCCACGTAGAAGACATGAAGTCCTCCTGAACGGTATAAGTCAGAAGGGCGTTCTGGTCGGCGCTCCATTCACCCACAGGAGACACGTGCACCAGTGGTGTGTCGAAGCGTTTCCTCAGCTGCAGTGTTGACAAGAGGAAAAAAGAATGGAGGTCAGGTTGGATGTGTATGTCAGAGACTGACCAAGAAATGATCCTGTTGCGGGGCTTCACTGCACACCTCCAGAGTGAAGTCTGCAACAACAGGTTTGTGGTCACTGACTCCATAGCTCATGTCACTGGTGTATGTGTTCTGGGTGACCAGGACTGGATATTCATCCTGTACATTATCTGTAGAAGTAGATGCCTTATCATCAACTTCATCCTCCTCTTCCTCCTCGGATGGCAGGTGTTTGATCCTCCAGAGGATCCGATCTGTCCAGGCTGGTTTTCTCTTTTTGCCACTGAGCAAATGGTTAAAACAAGAGCAAATAACACGGTTTTAGCTTAAGGTTAGATTAAAATATGTTTTTTGTATCTTACCTGAGACATCATTCATGTGAATGTGCATAAACAGGTAAATTTCCCTTATAGTTATTTGATAAAAGGGATAAAAATGAGCTATTAAACAACACAAACCAGACAGAAACACATGCATTGCAGTTGTAGCTAGACTCTAACATGCAGTGAATAATACCATGTGACAATATCTTTCAGCCGTATGTCTGTAATAATTTARCAAACCACACATAGCACAAAAAGTAAGGGAATTTGTGTTTGGTAAATTATTTATTTGATGTAATAATGCAGACAGTGCAGAGCATAAAGGAGTTTAGATGTTATGAATATGCAGATCACGTCAGCAATTCAACAGCATGAAACCTGCTTCAGCTTTGTCCTTTAAAGAAATGGTTCAGATCTTTTGAGATAAGAATATGYTTATGTACAATCAACATCTTACCTGTGGCAGATACTGTAACTCTTTGAAAAAAACAAAAACAAATCCAAAACAGTTTAACTCTGACTTGAGTTAAACTCTGTTTCTTTCCAAGTTAGGCCATTCTATGTCTATTATATGTGTGAACTAAGGGATTATATTGTAACTATTTTAAGCTGCTTTTAAGTGTGGCTGTGGTTACTGCTTTTGCATCAACTAGTGCCAAAAACATTAAAGGTGAAGTGACCATGAAAAAAGATGTGGGGCATGCAACACAAAAATATAGAGTATCTTACTTAAAACCCAACCATGTCTTTGGAGACCTGTGCAAAAATCCACAAACAAACCAGGAGCAGGGATAAGACTAAACCGGGTTATAGTGTAATATGTGTGTTTTTAAAGTAGAATGTGTTACCTTGTATCATAAGTATCAGATTTATGGTCAAACTTATATGTAGGTTTAAAATTTAGTGGCCCCTCTTCAAATTCCTGCAGGAAGGGTTCGTTTTTCTTCATCATGGTGAGCTGCAAGAACACAAAGTTAATCAGAACGAATGCACTGATAAATAAATGTACATATTGTGCATGCAGCTCCAACACAACACCTGGTCCTTGCTCCACAGCAAGTTAAAGCGTCCACTATTGATGGAGGAGCGGACAAAGTGCAAGCCGTGGTCGGCGATACGGAAGTTTAGATCACCAAACCAGAATACGACCCTATGAGCGAGAAAGAGCAGGAGAAAGTCATTTTACCTGGTGCAGAACAAGACTGGGTGAACTTTATTATTATTATTATGTTTAGTGGTTATGTTCAGGTGTGCTGACTTGTGGTCCAGGACATGAGGCGTATCAAAGATGTCAAAGTCTTGCGTTTCCAAGATGTACTCAAACTCATCGACGCGCTGCAGGGCGTTGGTAATGTGAGCTGCCAGGTGGCAGTTCAGGAAGCACATCATGTGGCCGTAGAAAGAAAAACGCACAGAAACGGCACCTTTATTACCCTGAAACAGAAACAGAAGACGAATTAGTCTCTCGAGGTGATTTCCATCTTAAATAAATTTGACGATTTACTTTGTTTAACATTGATTATGCGTTTTAAAGCATGAGCCTTTGTTCCAGTTAATTTCAGCATTTTCTTTCACATTGCCAAAGCTGTTGCCCTTTCTGCTACACAAACGAAAAAAGGTCTTTCATAACAGCCTAAACAGCATCTGATGTCAGTGGATTTCAAAGGGTTTAAAAGCGCAAACCTCTACAATATTCAGAGTCCTCTTTTAAACATCCTACCCAGTAGCCGAAGATGCCAGTACGAGTGTAGGTGGTCTGGATGTCTCTGATGTAAGGGAGATGCACGTCTTTGGCAAAAAGCAGCAGCAGCAAACCCTGCATCCTCACTGAGGTGACCTGTGGGGATAAATGGAAATGTGACCCGAGAAATCACCAAATGGAGAGGAAAAACTGGCTAAGTTCACCAGAAAACGTGTGGCGGTACAGGGAGATAATAAGATGGGAGGGCGGGATTGTGAGGATAAAACAGAAGGTGGGACTCACAAACTTAAAGACTAAAACATAAATCCAAAAACCAAACGTTTCATCACCTTCACAAAGCCTTTGGGTGCCAGTGTGTCCATGAAAAGGTGGCTCCAGGAGTCCTCGACTATCAGGTCCGAGAGGAATCGCAAAGGGGTGGCATTTACTTCCTGTAGACTAACTCCCACCAACACAAACAGAGATCAAACAATGACACTCTGACATCTTTTATCCCATCCACTGTATCAAAAAGCCTCCTTTMTTTTTAGATTTTTTACTGGTATATAGTGTATTTCTCACCCTATCACATATAAATCCATGGGATTTTGGGCGTCTAGCTGCAGCAAAGAGGTGACATCTTCTGGAGGCTCTGCCGTGGCCACGTTCCAGGTGACAATGTGCAACCTGTTGGAGCGGGAATACAAAGAGTTTTAAACCAAACGGATCATCTGGAAACCAATAAAATGTTACTGCAAATGAACAACAATTGCATCAAAGTACAAATTTGAATCCTAGCAGCTTCTGTGATATTAGTCCTGTGAATGCCTGAGTGAGCACTTGTTGACCTGAAAGCATCTGTGGGAACGAAGCGTCCGCAGAGCTGGAACATTTCATCCAGAGAGCGGGACACCTCTGCGTCGGCTTCGTCGTCAGAGCTCAGGTCTTCGATGCAGGTCATCAGCTGGGACAGGCGCTGGCGGAGGACTGTCTTCGACCTGGAGCTCTGAGACGCCGAGCTGCCCGTGCTGTCTGAGCGCAAACGTGGCTCGTCTGGCAAATGGTCCATGTTTGGACGGGCTGAGAATGGACCTCCCTGGCAGGTTCTTGGAAGTTTTTGTGCTGTATTTTACCACTTCCAAGCTTTAGTCGAAAAGAAAGATGTAGTTGTCTGCATAAGATTGATCCAGTTTCTTTGGTTGTTCTGGTTGCAGCCAGGCCTCTCCTAGCCAAGCTTTTGGATTTTAGTCCTTGTTAGGTAAGTCCTCAGAAGTGATCAGGATGAAAGTTTCCAGACAGCACGGGGTAATAGGGTGACTATGCCGGAGCAGAGCCTTCTCTGGCTGAGTCCCCTGTGCTCCTGCAGCGACAGAGCACCCTTTGACAAAGCAGTGGGGCCGACTAAAGAATGTTGGCAAGAGGAAGGCAGATTTGAAGTCTAATCGCAGGCAGGAGACAGGCATGTGAGTGTGCCAGAGCTTTCCCGTGAGGCGATAGAAAAGGAAGACTGGAGGCTGATTCTCCATCACTGTAAGTGTTGTTGTAAGGCTTGTGTAACCTMCTCAGATAAGAGGTTTACTTTAACAGTTCTCGCTCAAACTCCACCGTTACATTCATGCACCAGTAACAGAGACAACAGAGTATCCCTCTGGCCTTCGTCCAGCCTCTTCTCATGTAGGGGAAAGGTTATCTTTGTAAACCCAGGAAGTGGCAGGGATTAAAAACAGTTTTACACAATGAGCTCTGGCTTTCCTTTCAAAACAAAAGCACAAATATTTTTAATTATCCACTATAGCGGTCCAGTTAATTGTGGACAAATGACATAATGGGTTTAGACATGCATGAGGAAATCTGGAACCACAGTGAGGAACAAAAAAAAAGGCTTTAAAACGTCAAAACCACAAACACAAAGAGACATTTTCAGCTTTAGAACAAATCATAATGAAGCTATTACAGTTTGGAATACGAGATTTGACATCTGATAAATGGGGAGGATAATGTAATTGCATGTAAGTGTGTGTGTTTGTTTCCAGGAAAATGATTTTAAAGGACTTGTCAGAAAGTGACCACATGGATATGTTTGCAACTGTTTACATTTTGAAGTAAACCCAATTCAAGATGGCTGCCACAGCTAACTGAGCAATGGCTGCAGTTCAGTTATTCTTACAGCTACAGATCTACATAATTTTGTGCAGTAGTAGCTGAGAGACAACCCTAACACATAATACAAGAGGTAACGGATAATGCAGGATCTTCATTTAAATCTTTGGGCAATATGCATTTCTTTACCAGCAGTGACCAACATTGCTTATTGGGAAACACACTTGTTTAAGATCAACTTCTTCTAGATTTATATTGATAAAAAATATTATACATTTAACCTCCTGAAACCCCATGTTGAAAACATTCATTTTGGATAAAATGTCAATATTTAAAGGTAAACTTCATAAGTTTATCTGCCACTTTATGTAATCATGTCACATGCAGAAACTTGGGTCACATTCCTGAGCTAGAAGCTCAGTGGATAACTGAGGGGCTTACTGCTTTGAAACACTGAACTAATAGTTTTATCAAACACACACACAAAGGCTGAGAACCAGCCAGAACTAGCTACTAATAAAGACTGTCTTTTTTTTAAAAACAACTTTATAGTCATCACTTCGTCACCCCTAATCTTTACATACAGWTAGAGGAAAAAGACTTACCTGCACTTGTCTGTTCCACCATTTTTAATTTTCCCAGTGCTCATTTTTTTATTCTGCCAATACAAAGAAACACACTTAGACTTGATCAAACTGCAAAACAAAGAAGGTACATGTAAATTACCAATGTACAGCCTTTTTACAGACAGGTTCACAGGTTTGCAGAGAGCATCAAAACAACTGGAAATTGGRAAAGCCTGCCTGTGAAGTCATTTGGCAAATGGATTGATAATCACGTTTAATTATGATTATCTTGTGCCAAGTTAAAGTGACAGTGCACTAAATATAATAAACAGAAACTTGAGTCATTTTTAGGGTTTATTAATAGTAACAGTTGTAAAAAATAACTGCTGTTAATTAATCTGTTTTAACAATAATTAATACCCTGATGACAGTGATAAAACTGAGAGAAAGAAAGAAAGAAAAAAACAATACTTTGGAACCAGAGGTCAAAAGAAGAACTGAGCTTCACCTTCTAAATTTTACAAGGACATTTAGAGAAAAAAATAAATGTCAATGATGGAAAGAACTAAAAGACACACTTGTGAGTTACTATTCAGAACATTAGCCTTTCATTTTTTTTAAAGCAGAAGAAAAAAGAAGTAAAAGAAAATAAAAAAGCAAAGAAACTTGACGTACCTTGTTGTTGACTTTATGTTTCTGAAAGAAGATGAGGAGCTCCTTAGATGTGACCTGAAATGTGTTTTCTTTGGCAGGAAATGTTTTTGGGCTGAATATTCTGTTCTGTGGATTTCAGCTGCGTACTTTTCAGGGGCGCGTTTCCCAAGACCACATCAGACTTAAAGCATAGCATCGGATCAAGCTTTTATCCCAGGCCGGTTAATGATCCAGTGAGAAAGTATTTATGAATAGACTTTGTGTGTGCTCATACAATCACCAATACTTTTTAATTAATGCCTTTTTATTTTGTCATCTTATATTTCTTAACGTTTTTAAAATAAACTCTTTATTTGCTTTCATCAACATGTATTCCTTAAGCCTGTCATTAGGATAATATTAGGACAGTAACACATTGTGAACTGTCACATTTGCACTAATATAATGTGATCAATGTTGTTTATTAAAACAAGACTGACAGAATAGTAGTCATTGCCAAACAAAAACTTCCACCATCGTGACAGATGTTGCTGTAAAATCAGCATCACCAATATTTAAACTACATAAAATGCTACAATTATTCCTGCTGCCGGTGTAATGTGTATCATCCACCACAAAGGGGTGTGGTGGGAGTTGGTCTATTTTCATTCAATGGTTGCAGTTCTTCACTGATGCTCTGAGAGGGAAATCAATATAAATCAAATCTAAAGGAAATCTTTCAGGGGTTTCCTTGATTTCTTATTAAAAACACACACTTCTCATGACAATCACAAGAAAAGTAATGCATAAAGTTGTCAAAAATGTATATAAAAAAGACAAAACTTGAGCGTTATTAAGGGTGTGTTGTCCAAATTATTTTTGTCAACATCTGCACAGTCTCTCACCATCATCTCCCAAACATCTCTGTATAAGGTTCCCCTTTCAGCCTGCTTATGTATTCTTATAGTTTATTCTGTCTACAGTGTGATTGTGGATTCATTTAATTTACATTTTTATTGATTACACCAATAAATTTTCTAAWATGGTTTTGCCCCGCTCTACCTCACAGAGCTGCTGCACCCCTTTACCCCTCGTGTTCTCTCAGCTGCTCCTGAGCGTCCCAAAAACCAAACGAAGAGAACGTGCTTTCTCTTCTGCTCCAAAACTGTGGAACCACCTGAGAAGATGATTTATTTTGTTTAATTTAGGTTTATTTTCATGGGGACATTTGCAGAATTCACTCCTTTAGCCATCAATTGTATTTTATTGTGTAGTACTTGGAGTCTCTAGGAGTGCAGGAAAGCAGGATTTTATCTCTCCCGGTGTTGCATAGATATGTTTATATTTTGTTTGGGTCATTTTTTCAACCCATTCAGTTTTCTCTATTTTCTGAGACATTTTCAGAACTATTGCATCAAAATATTTGCAATTTGGTGGTCTTCATTCTCCTCTGGCTCTGGGTCAGAATCTGGCTCCAACATGTATGGCTGGATGGACGAGTCTTTCCTTGTTGACATATTTTAATCAATTTGTAAATAAAACATTTCTGTACCACATAGGATCGGATGATAGGGCTAAAATTTATATAATTATACAACTCATTTCAGTCGATACAATATACTGTATTTATTCATGTATAATACTAGAAATTTAACCCTAAAAATCATGCATAAATTAGGGGGTAGTATTATATACGGGTTATTAGTAATTAGATTTTTTTTGGCTTTTTAAGTTCAAAAAATGATGATCGTATTATACTAGAGATCATATTATACATGTTAACAAATGTCAGAAATATGCTAATATTTATTATACCTACAAACTTGTCATGTCATTTAAGATATAATTTAAGTACAATGGACCAGTTTAGAAGCTGCAAGGGGGCGGAGTTTGAAGCGCCTCGTTTGGATTTAAAGAGACATCGTCAAAACGAGTTGATCTGAGACACACAACAGAAAAGAGGTGAAAGAAGGGCTTGTGGAGTTACAATGAAGAATTCAGACCAAAGCATTGCAGATGAACAGTTCTATTTTATATAGACCTCCAAGGAAATGATTTAAATGGTAAAAAGGATTTAAAAGCATCATAAGCCTACTTTAATTGGTTTTATGTGTTGTTGTTTTAATTATATGGCTGTTTTAACTATTTGTTTAGGCTTTTATTATGCATTGTGACTGCTGTTGTGTTTTATTGACTATAACTGTACAGCACTTTGGTCTTATGGTTGTTAAAAGTGCTTTATAAAGAAAACTGGTATGGTAATTTGATGTATTCCTTTTACGTCTAAATATCTCATAAATGGCCCTACATGTTTACCAACACACACTTTTACATCTCCCTAATATTTTATTACGTTGTTACTTTTACATCCTACAATCAACCTTTTAATGAATCATATGTACCATTTCAGGACATTGTTGCTCTGGTGCTAACAAATAATAATTCACATCAAACTTAAAGTATGTACACTTGCTTTTGCTTCTTTATTCTGTTCTTTACGTCTCTGATGTACAGTAGTGTTATTTAGAGAATAAGATGACCAAAAGGCACAAATTCACAATAAAAGAAAGAAAACAGGAGACGAGTTAACAGGAGTGAGAGAAGAAGAGAGACAGAAAGAGAGAGAGAGAGAGATTTAAAAACAGTTTGGGATCACAGACTCATTTGGTTTCCTCATACTCTGAATATAAATCAGGGAATTCCGACAACAGATATATGAGATTGTCTCTTTTCAAATATGATCTCTCACAAGTTTGTACATTCAGACTCTTAAAATAAACCTTCTGTCAGCAAACCACATGAAATTTTCAGTCTGTTCTCATTTTTTTGTCCCCCCCTCGAAARTGTGCAAGGATGCACCGAGGTTCCACTTTGACGCCATCTGCTAATATTGTGGATCAATGAACTGACCCAAGCTGCTGTTACATTTGACTTTGTCACTGAGAGAAGAGAGACTGAGGTACAACAAGGGCACAACAACATTCAGAACAAAAATATATATTTATACACTGTCCTGCCAATGAAGCGTTGTCCATGTGGAAGAATAACAGGATTGGTGAACAGGGTTTTTTTTGTTTTGCTTTAAATATCTCTCCTCAAACGGAAACCACAAGTCATCATCACCGCTCTGCTGGAGCACTTCAAAACCAAGATCTAAGTGCTTTAAAGGTCATAAATACAGCTGACATTATTCTTACYGATTTCTTATCATCACTACATTTGAGCAACTACACAACTCTACGTTTTCTGTCAACAGCGACCGAGTGAGAATCATCGTGGTTGGCGGACTGCCGGAAACTTAAAAGAGATGCAACAAGAGGGCGGCGTGTCCGGAGAGCGAGCTGCAAAGTTTGGCAGGACAGCCTCATCTATATATATGTGTGTTCATCTACAATAATTTGTTTTTACTATTTACAAAGCCAGTACATACAGTACATCCACAAATCTCCACGGTTCAGCTGGTGGCCCCACAGACACAGCGTGAGGTGATCGACAGACAGATGAAGGGTTGGACAGCAGGGAAGGATAGGCTCTTCCAATGGGACGCAAAAAACAAAACAAAAACCAAAAAAAAAACAAAAAAAAACAATAATTTGAGGTGTTTAAAGATTATTAGTTAAAGAAATTCAATATCTGTTCAATTCAAAATTTCAGTGTGAAACAAAACACAAACTAACTTATTTATCTGGAATATATTAGTAATAATGAGACTATATTTATAAGCAATACAAATGACTGGAAGTATTAAGAATTTTTAAGTGATGAAGACTTGTTTTAATTAAAGGGAGCATTGGAAGAAATATCTCTGGCATTAAGTTGAAACCCTAAAGGCAGTTTATAAAATGCCAAAAAATAAAAAAATAAATAAAAAACATTGATTAAATGGTTGGTTAATATAGTATTAAGGAAAACTTCAGATCTTTTGAATAATCTTGAGAGTTTAAAGGGGAGGTATTATGAAAAATCACCTCTTTTTTTTAGCTTTATATCATGTTATAATGTCATTCCCTCATCAAAAACATACTCAGAGTGCTGCTTTGACTCATTCATGCATGTTTCAGTAATCCTTTAATCTTCTGTGGTAGCCATGTGGAGCTACTTAGATGCTTGTTGCTACAAAGCACCGCTTATTATACCTAGCACCTACCTGAAGCTCGGTCTGCAGCCGAGCTCCCGCTCCACAGAGCACCCCCTCCTACATGCCTCCCCTACACGGTTCCACTAGACCTGGTGGAACTGCAAGTCTGTTGAGTTCGTATTACTGCTTCTCAAAGTCCTTTGATTAAAAAATGCCTCCACTGAGGAAATGTATTTTTGTATGACTACCCTCTTACAACGCTCCTACAACAGGTTTTAAACGGCGTGACGCATTGTTGTGAAGACCTACTGAAGTGGGAAAGTCAGAAATGGTAGACAGATGCCAATTTCAAAGCAAAGTCTAATTTAGTTTTATGCAGCATTTTCATTACAACTGAAGGTAACATAGTTACTTGATTGTGGTACAGAATAAAATTTATATGCCTGGAAAATACATAATACCCCCCTTTAATAACAATATTATTGAGCTGGTTCAAAAACTGAATCAATTTGCTTATAAAAACTGCAAATTTAAACTTTTCAGTGAATCATCCGATCTCTATTTTAAAAACCTTTGCACCACAGTTAATTTCACAATAGTTATTTCAGCATAAAGTGATTTATTGTTGAAGTACAAGTTGCTTGCATTTACAATTAAAAGTAATTTTGTCCAAACAAACTTGTCGTGCAAAACTGGTGATTATGTCTGTGTTTATTAAAATAATGTTCACATGACCTAACATAATTTGAATATTATTTAGACTGGAGTTGTTTTAAAACTGCAGAAATCTATTTTGTTCTTGGCTCTACAGTTAGTTTGTCAATATGGTCAGAATTAAACATTATTTCTTGAAACGCAGGCCATTCAATGAGCTATCTACAACAGGTAAGATATTAACTGTTCATAAACTTTACACAAAACCCCACTTTAATAGGTCTGAACGATTGCTTTATATATTATATATGTATCAATAATTGTGCATGAAAAGGCCTTAAACAGGACAGATTTTTCTCACTACTTAATATTAAATTGGAACAAGTGCAATTTTATGCTGTTGTGATACATAAAGTTGGATCTACAATTCCAACAATAAAAATAAATAAAATTTGTAATTTTACAACTTTTAGTTTTTATTATTTACAAGCTATTAAATTTTTTTGTTTTTTTTAGTAATTTTGGACAGAAATGTTGCTTTA